GCTCACCCATAGTGGAGTATGGGGGAGCAATCAACTAGTCTTCATCGAGTCAACACAATCAAGAAAGGTGGTCCAACTTGAGGGAGTCAAGATTGTCATCATCTAGCTCAAGTGGATCATGTGCAAGGCAAAGGTTTGCCCTTGATAGGTTTTCTATTTTACCGGTCTCATGATGGTAGTTGGGAGACCGGGTTATAGGATCGATTGCCGTACTATCAAGGGGGGCTCTCGATGAGTAGCTTGATCGTATCGTTTGTAGAGAGCTCAAACCATTGCATCATTGCATCATCTTTCTTGGTTCTTGTTTGGTTCTCTTTGTGAGTCTTAGAGCTTATGGTCATCTTGATGACAAGCTCGAGTTCATCGAAAACGGAGTTCACATGCATCTTCTATGATGTTTTCGATGTTGGAGGTTTTGCCGGTTCTTCTCGGTTGGAGGTTTCACTCCTCTATTTGTTGGCATACCTCCCCTGCCTCTTCTTACTATATCTAGTCGCTGTTTTGATGCTACTCGTCGTCTTGTTTTCAACAAGCTTGAGTTTGCTCAATTCGGAGCTCATATGCAGAAGTTATGGCAGTTCTGGTTTTCTTGAGAGTGGTTTTTGTCTGGTCCCAACGGTAGTACCGCGTGCCCCAGCGGTAGTACCGCTTGGAGCTCTCAGCCGTTGTACCGCTGCTTCCGGGCGGTGGTACCGCCAACTTGCTCAGCAAAGACTTGGGCGGTTGTTCCGGCCAGGCACCGCCCAAGTACCGGTCAGGCCTCTGTTTTGATGTGGTACTCGGACGGTGGTGGCCCAGTTGGTCCGGTCGTATCGGTACCACCGGTGTCCGAAGCGGTTCGACCGCTCAGGACTTAGCCGCCCGAGCGCTCAAGGCCATGCGGTTGCACCGGCCCGGTACCGCTCGACTACCGCACTCAGGGGTGACTCCCTTCTGTTCCTATGCGGTGGTTGAGCGGTGGCTGGGCGGTTGGTCCGGTTGTTCTTCTCAACCGGTGCTACCGCCTGGTCGCCCAGTTGTACCGCCTGGTAGGGTTCTACACGTATACTGTGAGTCCCGATTGTACCGGGACCAGGAGCGGTAGTACCGCTCGTGTGCGGGCTGAGCACATAACGGTTGGATTTTCTCCCTCCTATAAAAGGGGGTCTTCTTCCCCATTGAACCTAACCCTTTAAGCTCGTGTTCTTCCCCCTTTGTTGACCTTCTTTGAGCTTGCTAACTCTCATTCCCTCCATGGATTCTTGCTAGTTTTTGAAGGAAAAGAGAGAGGAGATCTAGATCCACATTTCCACCAATCACTTTCTTCTCTATGTGAGGGAAACCCCTTGGATCTAGATCTTGGAGTTCTTGGTGTTCTCCTTCTTGTTCTTCCTCTTATTTTCCTCCCTAGCATTAGTTGCTCCGGTGGGATTTGAGAGAGAAGGACTTGGGCACTCCGTGTGCCCTTGCCATTGCATTTGGTGCATCGGTTTGAGTTCTCCACGGTGATACGTGGAAGTGAAGTTTGAGAAGCTTATTACTCTTGGGTGTTTGGGCACCCTAGAGCTTGTTCCTCTTGGGTGCCTCGGCGCCCTAGACGGTTGGTGTTGTTCGGAGCTCAATCATTATGGTGTAAAGCTCCGGGCAAGCGTCGGGGTCTTCAATTAGGTTGTGGAGATCGCCCCGAGCAATTTGACGGGTACCGGTGACCGCCCCCAAGGGTTGCCAAAGTGTACGGGTTCGGTGACCACCCCCAAGGGTTGCCATTTGTACGGGTTCGGTGACCGCCCTCAAGGGTCCCTTAGTGGAATCACGGCATCTTGCATTGTGCGAGGGCGTGAGGAGATTACGGTGGCCCTAGTGGCTTCTTGGAGAGCATTGTGCCTCCACGCCGCTCCAAACGAAGATTAGCATCCGCAAGGGTGTGAACTTCGGGATACATCGTCGTCTCCGCGTGCCTCGGTTATCTCTTACCCGAACTATTTACTTATGCACTTTACTTTGTGATAGCCATATTGTTTCTTGTCATATATCTTGCTATCACATAGTTGCTTATCTTGCTTAGCATAAGTTGTTGGTGCACATAGGTGAGCCTAGTTGCTTTAGGTTTTGTGCTTGACAAATTAACCGCTAGGTTTATTCCGCATTTGTTCAAGCCTAAATCGTAATCATTTTAAAACGCATATTCACCCCCCTCCCTCTAGGCGACATCCACGATCTTTCAAAGGGAAAGTTTACAAGCTCAAGAAGGCACTTTACGGGCTCAAGCAAGCGTCAAGAGCTTGGAACGCAAAGTTAGACCGAAGTTTGGTCTCGACGGGTTCAAAATATGTCCCCTCAATGATCCAAAAGACAGTCTATCAAGCACCGAAGAACGGATGAAGTTCGAAGATGCGACCAAAGGGAAGTGTTGCCGGCAACTTACGGAAAAGCCGACGAAAGTAAAGTCGGTCCCTGAAATGCTGCAAGGAATGGCGAAGGCAATACCAATGATAACACCTACGAGTAGCAGCAATCACGTTTGGGACCCAGGTCGAAACGAGGAAGTCATGCTTAGAGGGTGAATGTTAGGAATAAGCACGACATAGTATACGTATCGTATATGTATATGTGTCCGTGTCGGTGTACTACTGGAGTCCAGAACCGAGTAGGTTTAGCTATAGGGTGGCTGGCTCTAGTATATATATGTGCGTACCCCTGTAACCTTTGTAACAGAAAAGATAAAAGCAATAAAGATTATTGAAAGGCTCGACAAGAGCCTTTGGCCATCGATCAGTTTTATCGTTCACAAGTTACGGAAGTCGCCGCAAGTGTTCCCAAGAGAGTAGATCGATCCGATCCAGCTAGAGCTGCTCCACGCAGACTCACGTACGAGAGGCTACGGCTAGACGCGCGTACAAGCCAGCCTCGTGTACGCACACACGGCCAGATCGATCAAGCTGCTTGCTTGATAGCTAGCTAGCTTTGCACGTATCTTGTGTAGCTCCTGGGCATTTTGGTCTAGTGATCAAAAGCCATCAGTTAGCATGTCGGGCTAGCTCACCCGCTAGTTTCCCAGGGCACAACCGCTCACGGAGCTGCACACAACACCAGCATTGTCGAGCTGACGCGTCGTTTCATTGTGTGTGTGTAGCAGATGCAGATTTTAGAGAGAGGAGAGAAAGAAATTGAGATAGAAGATGGATATGACATGCAGGTCCACCTAGTCAGTGAGAGGAGAGGATGATCCTGATGGGGATTGTGTGTTTCTAGTGCACCAAACTAGTCTGGACTCGGACAAGGTCAGGATTGACCGGGGTCGAGAAGTATGGGGTGCCGATTTCAGGGATTAGAAGGTAAGGGTCCGATTCCGACGAGACGTACGAGTTCAAGTTTTTTTCCAGACTTTACTCATCTCGCGTCGCCCATCGCCGTCGTTCCGGCACGAGGTATGGGCCTTGTAGGCACCCCTCCAGACGCGGGCGGTCGCCTCGCCGGTCCCTGCACGACGCACACGGCGACGAACGTGAGATCCTCACCGAGAGAAGAAGGCCCGTGCTGAAGGGAGGGAGAGAGATTATTTAACTAATCAAGCACGGAGAGAGACGTGATACCGTTCGTCTTGTCGCCACATGGACTCTCAGATCCGCGGCAAGAGATACAGGGCCAGGAGTGGCGCGTGATCCGTGCAGGTCAACCGGAAAATGCGGTCGAAAATCGTGCAACGACGCCGAAGTGCCACACGCCGGCCTCTGGCTGCTACCGCTGCGATGGAGTAACAAAATGATTAGGTGGCGTCTCCCTTCTAGTAGAACCTTGAGGTCGTCTCATCGCCATCCCCTGCGTTTTTTACGGGCCAAGAGCATCGTTGACGTCGACAAGCTCGGTTGTTTTACATGTTTATTAATTATATTTAATAAAATGTCACTACGTTACGATCGATGCCCCTTGCTCCCCGCGGGTGCAATATTTTAGTGCGGCCTAACTAATGTCTATCCTTCCGACAGATCTGATCCATTCCTCCAAAATATTTAGCACGGTGTGGATGTGATCCCGTGACATCGTCTGGGCTTGTTACAAGTGTCGGCACACTGGCACCCACAGCCAGGAGCTGGCCGGATGTGACACGAACAGTTCTTTGTGACACCTGTGCGTGCGTGCGTGCGTGTGAACGGAGCGTGCGAGGCACAATGGCCGCACAAACTACAACTAGTATTGACATTGACATTGACATTAACATTGATTTTGATTTGATTGATTGAACCACCGCGTCGGGGAGGGAGAGGTCGTGATCATTCTGCATTTTAGAGAACGCGGTTGTGCCAAGTCGCCGAACCCAAGGCCGGGAACTGCTGGCATGTTCCCCCCCATCTTCTCTTCCTCGTTTTGTCTATTGCTGCTAAATTCTTATTTCTTAGTGCGCTCGAGAAAGAAATTGGACGGGTTGTTACACTAGCATTTCCTCCGCGGTGCGCACGAACAGAAAATGGAGTGTGGGAGTTGTTGGCATTCGCGTTCGCACCAACAGGAAATTGATGGGAGTTTTTTTTGCATTTCCTCTCCTCTGCACATACAGATACAGATACGGGGCACTGACCGAATCAACAAGTCAAGGTCTTCCATTACATCTCAAGAAAGTTTGAACATCTCAAGAACACACAAACTTTCCCAACCAGTAGCAGTATGATTTATGTACAGATCACAACGAACTTTCTCATGGACTACCTTGCATCACATCCACCACATAAGAACACCGTATGCATCTTGTCACGACCTCTCACGAAAACTCCTCTTTGGGCAGAGATTATTACCCACTTTCTTCTCTAAATGCTACTCAAAACGAGAACAAAGCTCGCAACTACGTAGTAGCAGTACTATATGAAGAATCTATGAGAGGGCAGAAGAAGAAGAAGAGCAGACAAGATCCAAGACGAGCACAGCCGCTGCCCGCACGCATGCCACCGGCGGCATGGGGCGTGTACCTATGGCAAGAGGAAGAGGAAGAAGAAGGATCTGCGTGTCACCGCGCCGCTTCGTCCGCCTTAGCGCAGGGCGCGCGCGAGGCCGGCGAAGATGCGGGAGAGGCCGAGGCGGAAGCGGGAGACGGCGCCCTGGGAGTAGGGCGCGCACTCGCGGCACACCGTCTCCATGGCCTCCACGAAGAGGCTGAGGCTGCGCACGGGCGGCACGTAGAGCGTCAGCGGCGCCGCCGAGAAGGCCAGCGCCATCATCAGCTGCAGCATCGCCAGCGCTCCCCTTGTTCGACCCCCGCCACGAGCAGATCCAGCTACCTCTCCCTCCCTCTCTCTCTCTCTCCTGCCGCTTCTTGCTTCTTCTTGCCCGGTCGATCGATCGAGCAGCGGCCACCAAGAAGACGAGGGTTATATGGACGGACTGCGAGTCTGTGAGGTGGTGGTGGCGGCGCGGGGAGCTCCTCTTGTGGTGGATTGGTAGTTGGTGGAGCGCGCGCCCTCGCCTTCGCCTCCGCGGCCACGGGGAGAGATTCGGTGCGGTGCGGGGGAGGGGAAAGCGGCCGGCTTTGGCTGGGTTTGTGAGCGGGCCTTGTCCTTCTCGAGCTCCGATTTATAGCCCGGCGGCGGAGGGGATAACCCGATAAGATCGGCGCGGGTACGTGCCAGTTCACTTGACGTGGGAGGCTCCGGCTCGGCACGGACGCACACGGTGCGCGGCGCCGGCACGTACCGCCGTTTGCCACGGCGCGCTGTGCTGCGTTGTGCCGCTCCGGTTTTTCAGAGGCGACAACAGTTAAATATGTGGATGATAGCCATGGTTACAGTAAATTTACGGGACCGGGTCGCTTGTAGCGTGTGCAAGCAAGCCAAGTACGTGCCACTAGTTTGATTAGTAGCGCGAGCTGAGAGGGGACGCTCTTTTAGTTTGCGAGCGGTCGGTACGACGTGACATCCCGTGATCCGCATGTCTGTGTCCCGTGACATACTGACATGCGCACCCAATGGCCGCCCGTTACCCGAAGATTGCAACGGCCCTTAAAAAGGGAAGTTTGAAACGATCTCTTCAAGGTTAGCTTAGGGAAACAAGACACTAACCACTCAGCAGATCCTGTGGAATTTCTGCACCTGACCCCGAGCAAGATGGACAGGGGATCACGTCACCGTGGGACTTGCGGCAAAAATTCATATTTAAACATTGCAAAAAAATCTAAAAAAAAATCACGCATGTTCACAACACATATTAAGATAATCCCTAAAAAATTCAGATCAAAATTCGAAACATACACCGAGAAGCAAAAAAGTGACAGATTTCTCTTTTTTACTTCTTGACTCTTTTTTACTTCTTGATGTATGTTTCGAATTTTGATCTGAATTTTTTAAGGATTATCTTAATATGTGCTATGAATATGCATGATTTTTTTTCAGATTTTTTTACAATGTTTAAATATAAATTTGAACCGCAAGTCACACGGTGACATGCAAAGATGCATGTCACCTGATCCGTGTCCGAGCAAGATTGACTAATCCAAAGCAGACCGAGAAAAAGAATTGGGTTCCTGTGGAGGGGCCTTGCCTGTGGTACGTACGGCGCCTGATGGACACCAAATCATGAGAGCGAGCCATGGGAGGCCCTCGTCCACGGCAATCGTCGTGTGGGGGCGCGCTCGGCCTCTAGTTTTTTCTCTGTGTCCGGGGGAATGAGCGGTTGATACTCGGAGAGATTGTCACGATCCGACCTGGCGCGAAGAAGCTGATCGTGGGCGCAGCAGGCGCAGGCCGGGGCGAGGAGGGGCCGGGAATAGATACGCCACGCCCGCCGCTTGTTTAAATGACTATGGCTGATGGCGGACCAGTTGGATCACGCACGACGGCGCTATCGGGCGCATGGAAAAGGAACAGTGCAGCGGGTGGTCGCTGGAGCGGTCGACAGACAAGTTGGTTGGCGCACGCAGATCGATCACCGATCGGGCAGTGCTCCCAACTTTTTTACTGCTTTTTTTTTTTGAAAACTTTTTTTGTTTGTTTGTTGAAGACCATCAGTTGGTTCCAGAAGACGCCTCCTGAACTTTGGTGTGACAGTCACGCGCGGCGCGGGGAAACGCTTTATTCCACGGAGGCGCCTCCCTCCCCGCGCGTCCGGCGAGGAAGCTTGCGCCTGGCCGGCGCCGCAACGGCACAGGGAAAGCCGCCCCGAATCCCGCCGCTCCGCTGCGCCCACGGTAACGGGGCTCGACAGAATCAGTGGCAGGTGGTGCCGCTCCTGGCCAGCCGGCCGTGCAGGGCCAAAGGAAGCTGCGGCTCCTCCCGCGCCGCCCCGTTCGATCAGATGTGACCGTGCCCCCCGTCGCGGCTCCTCCCGCGCCGCCCCGTTCGAGTGCGTGCGCCGGCCTCGCTGACGCGGAGTGGCCGTACGTGCCGACGGAGCGGGGTCACGTGCGTCGGTGCGTGTGCCGGAAACGGGAAGCGTGGCGCGCCCACTGCGCACGACGGCGCGAGGGGATTGCCGCATCGGTGACGGGTCGATCGCGCACCTGAGCGTATGCACGGTCCGGTCCAGGCTCCATACTGGCCTCGGGGCATCTTCAACAATTCCGCCGTCCAGCCGATCCGACGCTGCATCTCCGGTCGGGTGCGAGAAGAACGATCACCAAGACCGGTCTGACCTTCACAAGTGGGCCCAGACCATCAACCCTCTCTCTCTCTGTTTTTACGGTGGCACCTTAGACTAGCCGTAACAAAGAGTAACATACACATATCCATGGACTATATTACCACCTTCATAGTGGGTATACGGTAATAATATAAGTGTAGTGTCATGCAAAACTTCACTTATTAGGTTATAGACTCATATTGCACTGGGACATGTGATGTTACAGTAACAGATAAGTTACTCAAACTATCTCTCTCCTCATTAACTCATTGTTACATAAGCAAATTTGCTGAGTTGGATTCGATATTATTGCTAAAGTTACTCCCACTGTGGCTAGTCTTAGGCCTTCTACAATAAAAGACACTTCGTGAAGGTACTTAGAAATAATTCAATCTTTTTTAAAGCACCGGTGCTTGTTTGTAGAGGATGGACGCTTAATTAGGTGTCTCTCCTGTAAAAATAGGCGCCGGTGCTTCAGAAAAACTGATTTATTTTTTCTAAGCACCTAACATTGTACAAGGCCTCATTGGTACTTATTTACGGGAAAATGTTTACAGGAATTCAGAAAAGACATCACCCATCAACTTTCCCTAAATTTAGGATACCCATAAAGGTGGTTTTACGCGGAAAGTGCCCATCTGAGCTTGTGCACAAATGCACATGATATCTCAGATGTCCGTTCGTTCCAAGATTCGGTCCTGGTCCTCGTATTTCTGGACGTATGTTACGCAGTATATTGATTTGCACAGTCCATATGACCCACAGCGGTCAGATAATCATTGCAGCCTTCGCCGTTAGGTTTACCTCAAGTCTAGAATCCCATTCACGTCAAAAAATCGGTCTAGAATCACATTGACGTTCTGGGCTGTCTCCCGTACTGCTATGGCCGTTCCATTAATGCAAAAGCCACCCCGCCCAACCAAGCAGAATGAGCAAACTGATTAGCAAACTGGAGACTAGAGTAAATTAAAAAATCATCAAGAATGCAACAGCAAGCAGCAAAAGAAGATTGGTTGGGAAAATTGGAACCTAGACCAGTGGGTGGTGAGCCATGGGACAACAGTCAACTTCACATTTCAAAACGCCCGACCTCGTTTGAATCTATGAGCAGTACAAGTTTGCTTTAAATGCGAACACTAATCAGCCATCAGCACTCAACACTTGAGTCTGTTCCCAGGAGTGCTACAACCATTCCAAAACTTCATTATTGGACAAATTCCCAGACAGACATTTTGTAGAAACCATTTTAACTGACATACACCCCATATCTATACTCTTAAATGCTACAGCCCATGTCAGAACACCAAACATTTGGCTTGATTAGATTAGTACAGAAATCACAAAGTAAAGGTATAACACAGAAACATTGAATTTTAGTCCTGATCTTGTCATTTCACAAACAACAATTAGTGACTGGCCATTAAGCACATAAACTAAGCATTCTCTGTAGCAAACTAAAACAGCACTACAGACACCCTCGCAAAATCTGTAACAGATAAACTAAGCTTCTCTTGGCATCAAAATTATGTTTTCTCCCGTCAACCTTAATTCGGCAGACCTGGTACAATTCTTTGGACGGAGTCCCTCAACTCCATTGTTCTTGCAGGTTTCTGAGCCTGCTTTGGAACATTGCCGAAATCTGTTTCTCTCGTGTCCTCTTGTGACCTTGCCACCGACAAATGGTGCAAAATCTGTTTTCTCTTCAACCCCTGCTCGTCGTTGGTCGACCCATCTCCTTGCTCTGAGCAGGAGCCAATAAACCTACCATTGCCTGGCACATTAGTTAAATTATTGTTGCCATTGATTGCATCATGCAGTACATCAGTCGCATGATTTGCGCAACACCTCCTTTCACCTCCATATATATGTTTGATAACAACTCCATTTTGAACAATCCTATCCTCCAAACATAGCCCATCTCCAGCTTCTGTGAATGGTTGCATTTTACACCATGCAGTACTTGAACAAAGCAATGAGACGGTAGTAAGCCTCAACACTAGTGTCACCTAGTCCAACTAGCTCCACAATATGCATGAACATATTCAAATGTACCAGGTCCATGATATATGCATGTACATATTCATAAGCACCATAAATAAATTGATATTGTCCATATACTTGAATCGTGCTTCACATGCTGTTAGCGACTAAATTTTGAAATGTGTGCACACTTATTCATTGAAATGGAGGGAGTACTAACTAACTACAACTCTCCTGCTATGATGTAAAAAAAAATTGGATCCATATCAAGACTATGTGTTGCCTAAAATTAAGTCACCAAACAACATACATCATGATAAAATAGGGTCATATACACTGTTTGTAGTCATAAATTTGAACCAGCTTTTGGCAGCCAATCTCTTTTAACACTTGCTATCACGCATGAGCTCAACCATGCATAAAATTAGAATTAGCTGCACAAGTTTACTAGCCTTGAGCCCTTGACAGTCTTTTATCAACCAAGCCCATGCTAAAAAAACAAACATCTGACAGACACAAATAATATGCAAGCAGAAACACACCTGCGCCTCTATCCAGGTGCTTGCCGGATTAATTGTTCGGGTGCTTGCGGTGAGCTATCCCTTTGTGCAGCCACCACCGCTTCCGCCTCACAGATCTGCATGTCCACACTCAGGGCCGCCGCTGTCGCTTGCTCCAACTCTCTCATGGACGCGATCACAGAGTAATGAGTTAATGACGCACCGATGCTTGCTCCACCTTACCTACGGCTGCAGCACAGGTTGATGGAGCGGCTCCATCAGGACATCACTGTCACTGACCTCCTCCAGCAGAGTGAATTTCGCACAACAGTTGAGCACAAGGCAGATCGATCTTAGAAACTCGATGCAAAAAGATAGATTCCACGGCTTACCTATTAATTGGTTGCATCAAGAACTCCATCTCCCAGACGGCGTCTGCTCTTCCCCGCTACTCGACACGCTGCGAGCTCCCCTGTTACGTGTAGTGGAAGAAGAGAATCTTGGGGCATCATGAACGAAACAACGCCTGCACACCCAACCTCCTCCGAGCGTTAAATGCGACAGTTTGCCACAGACCAGAAAAGTATTCCTGTTCCACCGATCCGCACTCTGCAAGCAAAGCACAGATGCGCACAAGAGTATGTAAAAATAAGTTACTATGCTTTCTTGAACTCATTTCATTGACTTATATTCATTAATTTCTCCCATTCCGTTATTGTTCGACACTTTATACAAGTTCGTTAATGCCCACAGTTCCATAGGGCTTGCTAACTCTACTTCATGAACAGAATGCACTGCAACCTCAATATTCACAGGTGCATTCTATCTTACAAGTCACATTTTCTGCTCCAACCAATTTTTCCATGACCTACCGATATGTGGTCTACTGGCCATATCATCCAATTCCTGACACTCTGTACAACATGTAATAAATTACCCAGTATGTGGTCTCATAATTACAAGCAATCACATGAATTTTGCAACATAGACAGTCTATCATTTCAGTTAACAATTTATGGTGTAATAATTTATCTAGGGGCACAACAATAAGTGCATACTGAATCATTCAGCTCACAATCAAATGATGTGTCCCTGTACAGTACTCTTGTACTCCCTCTGTTTCAAAATAGATGACCCCAACTTTGTACTACGTTAGTATAAAGTTGGGTCATCTATTTTGGAACGGAGGGAGTAACTACAACCAGAAATTGTTCAGATTTGCACCACAAATTATATGCAATCAACCACACACATACAAAATAAGATTATTCACATTTGCACATTAATTTCAGAACTACTGTGTTGAGCATGAAAATACCTGCGGCTCCATCGTGGAGCTCAGGGGTCCATCTTCTCTATTGTTTGTGAAGCCTACGGTAAACCCTTCCTATGACCCACCTCCACCTCCAGCACACAAATCTTCCCATCAAAGCTCTCACCAGGGTGTCCGATGCTGCTCCGTTCCCACAATCAGCGCACTCACTGGGTATTGGAGATTTGGAGGGGTTCCATCGTGATGTCACTATCACTTAACCTCCTCAAGCACCATGGATCTGCGCAGCATGAGGACGAAATTGCAGATCGACACCACGGGATCCAAAATCGAGCAAAAACATCAGACCAGGCAAAGTCTAATTGGCAAGATCAGGAACTCCATACCAACCTGTGGACGCGGCCTTTTTGGGGAATCGCAGCCCCACAAAATCAACCCTCTAGCTATTGAAAAAATCTAGCTTGAGAGGTAGGAGACGATGGTACCACCGGTCTGCCCCCATCTGTCCCCCAAATCCTCACATTTACTCCTCCGTCGATAGATTTAACGAAAAGAATGTATTCTGATCCACGGACCGGAACGGAGACCGACGAGTTGAGCCACGGCTCAACTTCCTACCGTCCATGTTCGCCGTTCCTCCGTCTCTGTCCTGGCCCACAGCTCATGCGTATTTCTTCTTTTTCATATTTGCGGTCGCTTGCGAAGTTGGCCCAGCCATTTAATGTGCCGAATCCCGAGACACTACTGTACCGCCCAGATATCAAGCACATATGTGCTCGAGCTCAAAAACACCGCGTCCGTTTTACGCAGAGTTTTCTTACAAGACACAAAGATCTGAAGGTGGGTGTCTCATCTGGTCATCTCTGAACCTGCCACTTCCATCAAGAGCAACGGGACACCACCAAAGGAGCAACAACTGCCGACAGTCAAGTCGTTGAACAACACGGCTCAACAGAAACACCACCACGGGCGCAAATGCATCACGCCGGGAATGGTTATTACTTACTCCAAGTCAGTACTAATATCATACAAGATGGTCATTATTACCCCAAACAACAAAGTGACAGGAAAACAGTTCAAGCAGGCTCCAGCTTAGCAGCACCTGCCATGCCACACAAACCTACCACAACAAGAGAACCGGCTGCAGCTGCAGCTGCATCGTCCCCTCCCCAAACACAAGGGCTGTCTACCAAACCCCCAAGTAACACAATTGCACAGACTCTAAATTCAGTTTTACAATATCACTGGACCGAGTTGACGGTCATTCGCCACACACATAAGCCAAGGATGATTTGCCAGGGGGCAACTGCGTGCCCACCCTAGGCGCCCCCTCTCGCGCGGTAATGGAAGTCACCGGATGGTAAGGTGTGGTCGTGCTTCGAGAACATGCCGCCATCCGGGGGAACGCCGGCGTGGCCAGACCTCGCTGATGCATTGCCGCCGCCTGAAGCTTCAGACTTCTCCTTTGCGTTGAGGAACCGCCCGCCTGTTCCCCGAGCCCGCTTCATCGCGTGCTGGTGCCGGGACTCATGCAGGTACGGCTGAACAGAGGCATGAATGTTGTGTTACATTGAGAGTGTGTGAACCAAATTCATTTCTACTACAGGGAAAAGAAACCAAAAGATGCTCAAGGGGCCAACTACAGTACTTTTTTTTTCCAAGTAAAAACATGCATAAGAATACCTTACGGCTTTTGACCAGCTTATTTTCAGCCTCTAATTTTGCGCGGAGCTGTCTCCTTCGGAGAATGGCATGGTATTGCTTCGCATTCACATAAATGGGCTCTTCGGCGGCAGCTGGTTCAATCGGTAGTGGCACTCGAGAGGATGGTACCATGCCCACCATCTGGGGGTGCATCTATTCAAATTGTTTTGCACCACATAAAGATGAGTTAGTAACATCGAAAGGCGCCACCTAACAAAAAGAAGAGAACTAATCTGCGGCAGGGATGACGATTCTGAAATCAAAATAAGTTGGCAACGCCAGTATGCTGCTCAACATTGAAAATTTGACTTTAAGTGAAATTGGTGTGATTAAACACAATCATGATTAGTTGTCTTGTCTCAACAGTCATTCCAGTTATACCTAGAGCACATGCTCGCACACAAAAATCCAAAAAGGGCAACCTGGTGCATGTAGCTCCCGCTTGCGCAGGGTCCAGGGAAGGGTCCGACCACTTTGGGTCTATAGTACGCAGCCTTTCCCTACATTTTTGTAAGAGGCTGTTTCCAGGACTTGAACCCATGACCTCGTGGTCACAAGGCAGCAGCTTTACCACTGCGCCAAGGCTCCCCTTCGCACACAAAAATCCAAACAGTTGCAAAAAATAAATAAATAAGCAACATCATCAAGCACAGAAAAAAATTAGGCCAGAAATTAGTGAGGGAACAGGGATGCCAGAAATATCACTCACAATAGCATGTGCGCCATAGGCTGCCACTGCACCACCATAGTAAGGATCAGCATATGGGTATGATATGGCCTGAAAAAGCGAACATCTTGCACAATTCACATGCTCGCCGTTCAACACACACTTCGAATTCAGAAATTAGCCAGCGCCTGAGCATCATAATAGAGACTTACAAAGGGATGAGTGCGGTCAGGTTTTGGCGGTGTGTATGCCATTTCTGAATTGCCCAGAGACAAAGCCGACATCATCTTGCCTTCATCACTACTCTTCGTATAGCCATCGCGATTACCTAGTATTAAGTACAAGGAGGAAACAAATGTCATCTAACTTTGATTTGTAAGTGCACATCAAGGTCCGCAATCATCAATATCGTTCTTTCCATTATTATTTTCGGGGACTACTCCATTCTGTATTTCCAGGAGAGATGATATCACAAGATTATGGACTAATAATTCAGAAAAGAAATAGTAGTTGGCAAGTCTAGGGCGAACCAGATTGATCATTCTGCTCATTAAAGCTCCCTTCGCTCATTCCGGACACTTCTTGAGGAGAATCGCTAGCTGAGGACTCGCAGTTAGGCACTTGCTGACCAAACTGAATCATGATTGTGCCATTTTCTGCCAGAGGAATACAAAAAGAAGTTGTAACTCTAATAGCAGCAGGAAATCAGTATACACAGCACATAGCCAGTCAAGTAGGATAGTGGAACTGAAGAATACCTTGCATATTTTGCTTGCGTCTCATCTCATGGGCTTCTGCTCTTGCTCTCAGTTCAAGCTGTCCATGTAAGTAAGCAGCAGGTCAGTCACAACAACAGAATAAAGTGATACTGTCCAAGTATACATTAAACGCTGAAACATGAATAGATACTGGTAGAATTGCTCCTCCCAACTCAAAAAAAAAAAGATCACTAAAGTCGTCCGTGTGCACTTGAAAAACTTAGATTCGCTCGAATTTGGCACGATGCACATGTCAAATGCTGTACTCACTGATTTGTATGCCCGGACATCTAAAAAATTCACACCAGCACTATGCATCAACCTGGTCCCTGAATCAGAAATTCTGATTAAGGTGCGCTAATAACTGAGTAGACAAACTCTAAGTAGATGATTTGCTAGTCCCCCGCTAGACAAATCCGAATCGCTCATTCATAAGCTCAGGGGTTCTCTTCTCCCCACTTACAGGCTTACAGCTGTGAAAAAAATTCAGGCAACAACAGTTGCTTTGAAGAAATAGCTGCAAATCACAACAAATTCACAGTGGGCACTCCATCTGAACCCTCCAAGCAACAAGATTTCAGTTTACCCCCAAGTAATAGTATTACTAGCACCACTAATCTTTCTTATAACTTAAACTAGAACGAAAAGCTATGGACACACACACACGAGACCAGAGTAGAACCGCAGCAGAATGCGCCCACGAATCTGAGCGGCAAATCGGCCGAAACCCGAACGAAACGGCAAGAACCCAGTCGGATCCAGCGAGAAACCGGCCAGACGGCACGGGGAACCGGCCAGCAATGGCCAGCCGGCCCGCCCGCGCCCCGGAGAAGAAGCAGGGAAGCGAGTGAGCGGCAGAGGAGGAGGGAGGAGGGAGGAGACCTGCGAGATGTGAGATGCGGAGGGAGCATGTCCCCCTTCCGGCGACCCCTCCCTCCTCCCTTGTTCCGCCTCTTCTCTCCTCTCCTCTGCAAGTCTCCTCTCCCTCTGTCTCTGTTTCCGTTTCTCTCTCTCTCTCTCTCTCTCTCTGCTTTGGCTTGGCTGGAGTATTTCTCTGTTGGCTTTATCTCCCCCTCCAACTGTCCACTCACCTACCAGACCGCCAAATAAAATAACCCACAGCCCGGAAGATAGAACAGTGGGAGAGAAAACGAGATGCAGAAAAATCTCGTAGCATTTCACCACCGTAGCACAGTAGGGTTTCGAAATTACTGAGGCCTTGTTCGTTTAAACCTCCTCTCAAGAGGATTGGAGTGGATTGGAGGGAATTGATGAGAAAATAGGCAGTTTTTCGATTAAATTAATCCATGAATAAATCATGAGCATGACATGGACAGCATTGATAACATACTGATTATGATCTAACAGAGCATGTACTACGCATATAGTAGAGACATCTACGCATACCGCTAGTACTGCTACAACAGAAAGAAACACGAGAGGGATAAGCGATGTATACCCTCCAATCGGCCACGCGGTGGCGGTGGCGGTGACAGCAGCCGCGGCATCCTCAGCGGCCTTCTTGTCGGCCTCGGCTTTCTCAGCGGCGGCACGGTCGGCGTCGGTTGACATGGTGATGATGAAGGTGATGCGGACGTAGATGAACAGAAGCGAGCAGTCGCGTAGTCGCTACCCAAAAACCTAATCGCCCCTCTCCCCGTACAGGATCCGGAGAGGCGTGGTTTCGGAGGCCTGCTCTCCCGTCAACCGTGTACGCGGTGAACGGGACGGAGTCGCCGACGGCAGCAGCAGCAGAGGAACGACGTGGGCGTGGAGGCGGAGATGCGTTCTGTTTTCGTGACGGCTAGGGTTGGCAGCGCCCCACATATATATGTGCGGCCGCGCGTGGAGAGACGTGGGCTGAACCCACGTCCAAGTCGGTAGCCCACGATCCGACGTCTCAGATCGTGGCCCCACCTGTCAAAGACTCTCCGTTCCTGACCGGCAAAAAGAAGCGCATAGGAGTGAGCTCGGCTCGGCTCAATCCCGCAACCCGCGGCGCGTCGCGTCGTGACGAGGCGTGGCGTGGCGAGGCGAGCGGAGGAGGAGGAGTGCGCGAGGGCCTCATCTCTTCTCAAGCTCCAATAGCATGAGGGAGAGAGTCCCTTATAAACCACTCCAACTCTCCTTCCACTTCCAAGGTGGGACTAAACTTCCCACACACCTAGTGCCATATAACCCACATGGGCCCTTAGAGATTTTTCAGAAATTGCAATATGGGCCTAGAGCCCACCTAAGATTTCAGCAATCCCCCACCAGATCTCGAGGGCCCATAGTGTCCTCTGTTCCAAATACTGTTTTGATATACTAGTGTTTCAGTGAAGACCTGTTAAGGTTGAGCTTCACCTAGAGCAAGTAGCTACATTCCTTCACAACTGAACAATGGACTATGCCTTGAATTGTCAGTTTGGCGTAAAGAAGTTTCACCACATGTCTTACTAGTACTGGGTTGCCGAAGGCTGACCCCTCGGGTGGAGCATATAAGTCACACTCCTGGCCTATTCATGAGTTTACTAGAGATCACCCCAATCTCATAGACTGTGACTAGCAGTCGGGCTCACATAGGTGTGTTCCTCCAAAGATCGCTCTGTAGGATAGCATCTTGCTTATACATATAAGCCTTGGAACACATTAAGACAATAGTCATCCTTCCGTACAGTTTCCGAGAGTATTGCATCTCCAACGGAGTGGGTTAGTAAAGTTACTCTCCTCAGTTCACCACTGGCTTGTTTCCCCAGGTCCTACTTCACGGGATCTCCGATCACATAGGTTGGGTTACCACCATGGTAACTCATGTGGGTCTCATACCCATCTCCCTCGATGCATTATCTATCACTACACGTGATAGCCCTTTCGTGAAGGGATCTGCCAGATTCTTAGCCGTATGGACATAGTCCAACGCTATCACTCCGGAGTCTCTTAATTTTCTGACAGCTTTTAATCTCATTCTTATGTGTTTGGTGGACTTCATGTTGTCCTTTGAACTCTTCACCTTGGTGATGACAGTCTGATTATCACAGTTCATAAGGATAGCCGGAACCGGTTTATCAACCAATGGCAAGTCCATCAAAAGATCTCGAAGCCATCTCGCTTCAACACCAGATGTGTCTAATGCCGTTAATTCTGCTTCCATTGTCGATCTCGTTAAGATCGTTTGCTTGCAAGACTTCCAGGAAACAGCGCCACCTCCAAGAGTAAACATATACCCAGTTGTGGCCTTCATCTCATCAGCATCAGAGATCCAATTCGCATCACTATACCCTTCAAGTACCGACGGGTATCCGGTATAGTGAAGTCCATAGTTCATAGTACCTTTCAGATAGCGCATAACTCTCTCAACAGCATGCCAATGTACATCACCCGGTTTGGAAACAAACCGGCTCAGTTTGCTCACAGCAAACGCGATGTCAGGCCTCGTTGCGCTCGCTAGGTACATCAGTGAACCAATGATTTGAGAGTATCTCAATTGATCTTTAGCAATGCCTTTGGACTTTCGAATCAATACGCTAGGATCATATGGTGTTTGAGATGGTGTGCAGTCCAAATATCCAAAACGACTCAACACCTTCTCAACGTAATGGGATTGCAGAAGTGTGATCCCACCCTCATTATCTCTCAGTAGCTTGATGTTCAAGATAACATCAGCCACACCAAGGTCTTTCATCTCAAAGTTCTGAGATAGAAACGATTTGACCTCCTCAATGACTTTGAGGTTTGTTCCGAATATCAGTATGTCATCAACATACAAGCACAGTATAACTCCTTCGCCCCCACCATGGCGATAGTATACACATTTGTCAGCCTCATTAACAACGAAACCAACAGATGTCAGAGTTGTATTAAACTTATCATGCCATTGCTTAGGTGCTTGTTTCAGGCCATATAAAGATTTTATCAACCTACACACCTTTCTTTCCTGACCATCTATCACAAAGCCATCAGGCTGTTGCATGTAGATTTCCTCCTTTAGCTCTCCATTTAGAAAAGCCGTCTTAACATCCATCTGATGGACGAGAAGACCATGTGAGGCCGCCAACGAGAGTAATACTCGAATGGTGGTCAGTCTAGCCACAAGTGAATAAGTATCAAAGAAATCTTCCTCTTCTTGCTGGTCATAGCCCTTGGCCACAAGCCTAGCCTTGTACTTTTCAATCGTACCATCGGGCCTAAGCTTCTTTTTGAACACCCACTTACATCCCAGTGGTTTGCAACCATAGGGACGGTCAGTGATCTCCCATGTCCCGTTAGCCATGATGGAATCCATCTCGCTACGGACCGCATCCTTCCAGTAGTCAGCTTCTGGAGAGGCATACGCTTCTGAAATAGAAGTGGGAGTATCATCCACGAGGTACACGAAGAAATCATCACCAAAGGTCTTTGCAGTCCTTTGTCTCTTGCCCCTACCAAGGGTTTCCTCGTCATCCTCCTCGGGATTTTCATCATGTGTTTGTTCATAATATTCCATAGGGATGGCAGGTTCAGGAGTCTCCTCAGATTCCTGTCTAGAAGTGCTTTGCATATCTCTCATAGGAAAAATATCCTCAAAGAATGTAGCATCCTTAGACTCCATAATTGTACCGATCTTCTGGTCAGGTACCTCAGATTTCACTACTAGAAATCTATAGCCAACGCTGTTCTTAGCGTAGCCCAAATTAATGCAGTCCACGGTCTTATGTCCAAGCTTACGCTTTTTGGGGATCGACACGTTGACTTTCGCCAAACAGCCCCAAGTGCGCAGGTACGAGAGTGTCGTCCTTCTCTTTGCCCATTTCTCATAGGGAGTGATCTCACTATCCTTTGTCGGAACTTTATTCAGGACATGACATGCCGTCAATATAGCCTCCCCCCACCATGCCTTGGATAAACCCGATGTATCTAACATGGCGTTAACCAAATCAGTTAGAGTATGGTTTTTCCGCTCGGCAACCCCGTTTGACTGGGGTGAATAGGGAGGCGTCCTCTCATGAATAATGCCGTGTTCCGCACAGAAGGAATCAAACTCACTCGAGAAGTACTCTCCACCACGATCAGACCGGACTCGTTTAATTTTCTTTTCAAGTTGATTTTCAACTTCTGCCTTATAGATTTTAAAGTAGTGTAGAGCCTCATCTTTAGTATTTAACAGATACACATAGCAATATCTAGTGGAATCATCTATCAATGTCATGAAGTATCTCTTTCCACCTTTAGTCAACACACCATTCATCTCGCAAAGATCAGAATGTATGAGTTCTAATGGTGCCAGGTGTCTCTCCTCCGCGGCCTTATGAGGCTTGCGAGGTTGCTTAGCTTGCACACATGAAAGGCACTTAGAACCTTTGGCTAAAGTGAAACTCGGGATTAAATCCAACTTGGCTAGCCGCGTCATAACACCGAAACTTATGTGACAAAGACGTGAGTGCCAAACCTCAGATTCATTAATACTCGAATGAATATGGTTCACGACTTTATTACAGAAATCTGCGAGGGAAAG